TTTCGGTGCAGTTGGCAGTTGGTTGCAGATTTGTTTTTTAATGAATGAAAGGTTTTAATGTATTCTAATTAAATTCATGAACAACCACCTGCTAAATTGTCATGATAAATATGATAGACTAGTAGTCTATAATTACAGGCAAATGAGCAATTTATATAACATACATCACACGATTTGCTACTGCAGATGGACGTGCTTGTTACCTAAATATGCTCGCTGGATCAGATTCAGTTCGAAGTAGCTCGTAATGTAGATAGAAATATATTAACCTGAATCAGGGACGAGAATACAACATGAAGTATTATTATTAACTATAAATATAAGAAGCCCGGGTGGGGGACTAGACCTAACACTGAGTAGAGAGGCACCACTATAAACATAAGAAGCCCAGGGTGGGGGACTAGACCTAAAACTGAGTATAGGGGCGACACTATAAACATAAGAATCCCGGGTGGGGGACTAGACCTAAAACTGAGTATAGAGGCGACACTATAAACATAAGAAGCCCAGGGTGGGGAACTAGACCTAAAACTGAGTATAGGGGCGACACTATAAACATAAGAAGCCCAGGGTGGGGAATAGACCTAAAACTGAGTATAGGGGCGACACTATAAACATAAGAAGCCCAGGTTGGGGGAATAGACCTAAAACTGAGTATAGGGGCGACACTATAAACATAAGAAGCCCGGGGTGGGGGAATAGACCTAAAACTGAGTAGAGAGGCACCATTAATTCATAAGAAGTCCGGGTGGGGGACTAGACCTAAAACTGAGTATAGGGCGCCACTATAAGCATAAGAAGCCCAGGGTGGGGGGCTAGACCTAAACTAAAACTGAGTAGAGAGGCACCACTATAAACATAAGCAGCCCGGGTGGGGGACTAGACCTAAAACTGAGTAGAGAGGCACCACTATAAACATAAGCAGCCCGGGTGGGGGACTAGACCTAAAACTGAGTAGAGAGGCACCACTATAAACATAAGCAGCTCGCGTGGGGAACTAGACCCAAAACTGAGTAGAGAGGCACCACTATAAACATAAGCAACCCGGGTGGGGGACTAGACCTAAAACTGAGTAGAGAGGCACCACTATAAACATAAGCAGCCCGGGTGGGGAACTAGACCTGAAACTGAGTACAGAGGCACCACTATAAACATAAGCATCCCGGGTGGGGGACTAGACCTGAAACTGAGTAGAGAGGCACCACTATAAACATAAACAACCCGGGTGAGGGACTAGACCTAAAACTGAGTAGAGAGGCACCACTATAAACATAAGCAGCACGGGTGGGGAACTAGACCTAAAACTGAGTAGAGAGGCACCACTATAAACATAAGCAGCCCAGGGTGAGGAACTAGACCTGAAACTGAGTAGAGAGGCACCACTATAAACATAAGCAGCCCGGTTGGGGGACTAGACCTGAAACTGAGTAGAGAGGCACAACTATAATCATAAGCAGCCCGGGTGGGGGACTAGACCTGAAACTGAGTAGAGAGGCACCACTATAAACATAAGCAGCCCGGGTGGGGGAACTAGACCTAAAACTGAGTAGAGAGGCACCACTATAAACATAAGCAGCCTAGGGTGGGGGACTAGACCTGAAACTGAGCAGAGGGGCGCCACTATAATCATAAGAAGCCCAGCGTGGGGGACTAGACCTAAAACTGAGTAGAGGGGCACCACTATAAACACAAGGAGCCCGTGGTGGGGGACTAGACCTAAAACTGAGTAGAGGGGTGCCACTATGAGCATAAGAAACCCAAGGTGGAAGACTAGACCTACTATTTTGCACCCCATATGTATACGAAATAAAGACACTGTTCCCCTGATCAGCAGAGAATATCGGCCGATAAATTCACAGACATACATAACAACACAAAATACGGTGAAGCGCCTCGACACTGCAGGAGGACAGATTATCACTTCCGCCTTATTATTTACTTCCACTGAGTTGTTAATTGATAGTTATCTGATCTTCCATACTGTATATGTTGTATCTATATTCATGATAATTTTAGGGAATTTGTAATTGTAATTTAAGTTTCCTGTCTATTACAGTCGAGTCGAAATGATTGACTGCAAAATATGCGTAGTTACAGCGTCTACAAATACTCGCATGCTGGGTTCTCCCGCTAACAATCATCTTCATTTATACAGTATTCGTATAATAGGAGTTGTCACACGTTGAGATTGGGTTCCCCTGTCAGTCCACTAACTCATTTTAATTGAGAACAAGAACAATTATTCATGTATAAAGTACGATTAGTATGAGGTTATAAATGTACGACCATGCGTGGTCAGTTAATATTGCGAAAACTGTATATTTTGAAAAGCGAAAAAGCCAGTTTTTAGAAGGTATTCATCACAGCGTGTTCTCGTCGACGGCTGTAGCCCTTCCATGTTCGATAACTCTCATAATATAGTAACATAGACTACAAATAAACATATTTCTTTTCATTATATACCCGAATAAGAGGTGCAGCCAAGGTCATTATAGTATATGTATCATAGTATATATATATGTATATCTTATTATACTGAATACGAATACGAAACCCAAGCCGAATGTCAGTTCTCCAGACCCCGGAGCAGACAGCTATTTCCAATTATGCAAACAATGCACTATATATGCGCCAGTTTAGTCAATAGTATGTTATGGGATTTTTCAGCAATATGAGCTAATAAATTATATAACCCTATACACTTCATTAGATTTGTGCAGGTGCGACACAATGCATTCAATTTGTGACTACTGCAACCTTCAAACTAAGCACATATTGATGCTAACAATATCTCACAGATTCTAAGAGATGACTCGCTGTCATACACTGTATCGTTTTTTGACTATGATATTGAGAAATTTATCATAAGTTTGCAAACACTTCTCTAGAATTTTATTTGATGTTTGGTCGCGGGTTTTATATGCTTGGAATTAATCGTTTCGTCTGCTATACTCGTTTTTGAGGAGGTTCACATTCCG